TCGACCTCTGCGAAACACTTGCAGTGTTCACTTCAGAACACCGGCACAGATTACGCACGCATGCTCCCGAAAAGCATAAGCATGTACCAAGGTGGGTTGTTGGTTTCTAGAGTTTCGCAGGCGGCTGTATGGTTGGGGTTGCAGGCGTAGTGAGAAAGAAGAGTTGGACGATCTTCGGGTTCACAAAACGAAAACAAAGGGACTATTGCGTGGAAGACCTAGGTAACATTTGTAGAAGACAAAAGGGTCACGGTTAGGCGGGAGCTGATTTTCGGCGGGAGCTGATTTTCGTGATGCTTGATTTGCTAGCGATGGTGCTTCTAGCTGTGATAGCGGCAAACTTTTGCTCGAACACGGGGGCATTGTTTGGGATTGTTGTTGCTTGTCGGCGCAAACCGCAAGGGGCCTGTGGCAACACGGAAGGATATACACACACGTAAATATTGCGACGGCAACGACCCAACATTCAAAATCAAAAACACAGACATGCGAAACAAAAACAGATGTGGCGTCATGTGGATTTCGTTCTAGTCGTGGTCGTAGTCGTATTAGTGTAGTGGTAATTAGGCATAGTAGTAGTAGTAGTAGTAGTAGTAGTAGCAGTAGTAGTAGTAGCAGCAGCAGCAGCAGTGGCGGTTGCAGTGGGGAGGGGGTGGAAATGGGAGTGGCAGCGAGAGTGGGAGTAGCAGTGGCAGTGGGAGAAGGAGCTACACTTGGCACAAGGCGCCTGTATGTGAAAAATATTGAAAGGCAACCAAGTGGGAGTTTTTGCAGTCCGCGATATCCCAACATGTGGGAAGACTCTCGGATTCTTCCAGCGGCAGAGTTGCGGTTACGGAATAGTAAAACTATACGCTGCCCTTGGCCCTCTGGAATTGCAAGCAGTAAGCTGAGAAAAGCCTCAAGCATGGAGTCTGTATGTGTGCCAGCACGTACGGCCTCTTGGGTTTCCCACGATGCGTCAGCATCTTCAATCAAGGCCTCACGCGTTCGGGTCAGCGCCACGCTTTCAAATCACGTCCCAACCGCTTCCGAACCGCCTCAGCTCCTGCGACTTCGCCCTCCTCGAGAAGGCCCTCTATGGCCCGGATGACATCGCCGTCCATGGAGGTAACCTTCCACTGACATGGCTTTGTCTGCTGCACTTGCTGCACTTGCAAGCGATTACCGAGTTTGCTTCTAGCAGCGCCAGCTGCCGCAAGACATGATGCGCGTTTTGGCCGGCCCGTGTGCTCTCATGACTCATAAATACTCATAACTCATAACACCTCGGCCCTTCTGATGCACATCCTCAGCCTTCCTCGCCAGCATCTCCAACAAAGAAACCTTCCTTGACTAGCAGCTCCTCTGAGAGTTCCCAAAGTCTGCGTGCAGCTTCGGTGTCTGTGGCGAACTCGGAAGGCTTTGTGGCAGCACAGTCTCGGAAGTATTCCCCTGTGACACCTTCTACCTGCGGGGCCGTTAAGCAGAACACACTGGTAGCGGCCCCTTGAACCTCGTCGCGATCTTGCAGGACTCCCAGTAGCACTTTTCCTTTCAAAATTTGCTGTCTTCCCAGGGAAGTCGAGATAACGCCTGGATGAACAGCATTGGAGCTGACAAGATCGCCTCCTGGTATGAGTGCGACGCGCTTTGAGAACTCACCTGGCAGAGTGTCGCTGTGATATTGCTTGGAGGTTGCAGCTGCCGAAAAACCCTTAAACGGCTGCCCAGCAACGAGCAAAGAGGATGTTGGCCAGCTTGGACTGCTGATAGGCGCGCCAGTCTCCATATTTAGCAACACTAGGAGGCCAGTCACTGAGATCGTATGCTTGATTGGGAGCTCTGTGGGCCTCGGAAGCCAGAGTAACCACTCTTGCAGGAGCAGACTCTGCGATCCTCGTTGCAAGAGCTCTCGCCAGCGCAAAATGCCCTAGGTGGTTCGTTGCGAACTGCATCTCAAACCCGTCTCGGGATGTTTCAAACTTTGGAATTGCCATAACACCTGCGTTCAGACATAGTAGATGCAATGGCCGACCCTCCTTGAGGAACTTCGTTGTGAACATGCGGACGGAGCTGAGTGAAGATAAGTCCAGCTCGACCACTTCTATTGTGGGCGCCGGTCGACCAGCGGCTTGCAGCGCTTCTTCCATGGCCTTTTTCGCGGCTGCTCCACGCTTGGGGTCTCGACAAGCCAGCAGCACTTGTGCACCGCCATACGCAAGCGCCAAGGCCGTGTAGTAGCCAATACCTTGAAGGACGGAGTACCCACATGGGGCAACAAAGTTGTCAAGAGCTGAAGCTTGCTTGTGTGTCGACAAGCCGTTGCATAGCCGTGATCATCTGCTAGGTGATCCCGCAGACTAAGCTAATACAGTCCAGAAGCCCTCTGTCCTTCTCGCTTTACACTTGGACCGTCATCAACAGCCTTACAGGAAAGAATGCCAAATTGGATTAGCGACCTGAGTTGGCCCCGGTGACCAAGGCCGTCTGATTTGGCAACCTTGTGGTATCCAGAACCTCCCACGCTGTGCTCTGCTTGTTCGGACCATCTGCAGAACGCAAAGCCGCGCCAACCACCTCCGCAGGTGGAATCTGCTTCTCTGCGGGCTTCATCGTACCCCCGAAGATGCTGAAGAAAGCTCTGTCGCCAGGGCATCGAGACGAGGCAGCAAAAGCTGCCCAAGCAGCAGCAGCTACTGCTACGGCCCCCCTCTGCGTGCAGGTGCGCCGAAAGGCGGTTGATCTAACGACTCTGGCCATGGCTACAGCTTCGATTTGGTGCCACTTGTCAAACTACAGCTAGGGGTATGCGACCGTCCGTCACAGCAAGCATACGATGGTAAATGCGCAGGCTGGAAACGCGTTTAATCATTGTAACTCATCTTCGCGAAGTAGTCATACACATGGAGATGCTTGCACGCACCACAACTTTCTTCGCGATCCCGAACCTCTGTCGACCGTTACACACAATTTCTGCACTCAAGTTCACCAGACAGACCCTCGATCAGCCTGTCGCCATACGAACCTGAAGCCAGTAAGTGGACGTCGCAGGATGTGTCGAACCCTGTCCTGGAATGCACATAATTTCCCAGGTCCCGAAAGTCCTCACTTTACCCTAATGGCAGCCTCCGGGACCCTTTTAGACTTAAAACACGAGGTGATTCATAAGAGGGGCTGCTACGAGCACTCACTCAGAAAGCCTGGCACAAAGCAATAGCTGAAGATGACGATGGGACCGACCTCAGCATGAACAGGGATGGCAGGACCAGAGGCCGTGGCAGAACAAGCTCATGATCGCGAAGAGTGCCTAGCATGCAATCGCGAAACCAATCAGATTCTTCTTTGTCCTGCAATGCTCGGGCATGGGGGAGCAACTGCACATAGCGCCCCATGTCTCCTTCTACTGTGCAACAGCCAGCTAGCAGCTAGCATGTCAGATTTTGTGACGAAATGCTTCGCATATGTCACGTGAAGAAGTGTTTGCATCGAGTGTGTGTACATGTATGTATGTATG